GCTGAGGATGCCGAAGCCGGGAATTCGGTAAGAAAACCTCTGCGAAGTAAGAGTTTCAGTCTCAGCAGACCTACACCGGAGGAGGAAACCATGGACATCAATACCATACGGGTCCCAGGAGGTTTCAGAAGAGACTTCATACGAAGGACTGCCGGCAGCCCTCATCCTGGAAGTACCGACGGCCGCGCAAGGGCGCCAGCGACTCATCATCAGCTCCATACCAGCAGCTTTCTGGAATTTCTCACCCTGTACGGTCACTTCGCGGGAGAAGAGCTAGAAGAGGACGATGAGGTTCTGGGGCCTGATGAGTATTTCTCCTCAGAACCATGGGACGAAGCAGAAGACAGAGAACCAGGGGAGGAGTCCGCTTTGCTCCGACCAGAAACTCCTGGCCGAAGGAAGCGTAAACCAAAACCGCGCGGTGGAACGGGAACCAACACAACGACAGGAGCAGCTCTCCTTCTACTCAAATCATTTGTTGGCACGGGTGTTCTGTTCTTGCCAAGGGCTTTCCTGAATGGTGGAATGTTATTCAGCAGTGTGGTTTTGCTTGCTGTATCCATACTCAGCTTCTACTGCTTCATTCTTCTGGTCAACACCCGCTTGAAGGTCGAAGGCTCCTTCGGTGACATTGGTGGTGCTCTCTTTGGAAAACATATGCGCCGGATCATCTTAGGATCTATTGTTCTCAGTCAACTGGGATTTGTCTCCGCATACATTGTCTTCACTGCTGAGAACCTCCAGGCTTTCGTTCTGGCTGTCAGCAAATGCAAGTCGTTCATCGACATCAAGTTCATGGTGCTGATGCAATTGGTCATTTTTCTGCCTCTTTCGCTAATTCGTGACATTGGCAAGTTGGGTATCACCGCACTTGTGGCAGATGTGTTTATTCTACTGGGACTCATCTATCTCTATTACTACGACGTTGCCACTATCGTTTCGCAAGGTGGCATATCGGATGTCAAAGCATTCAACCCATCCACGTGGACTCTTTTCATTGGCACTGCCATTTTCACGTACGAAGGGATTGGTTTGATTATCCCAATACAGGAGTCAATGAAGGAACCCCGTCGGTTCCCTGGCGTCCTTGCCGGTGTCATGGTCCTCATTACAGTTGTCTTCCTCTCTGCTGGTGCGCTCAGCTATGCAGCCTATGGCTCCGCGACGCAAACCGTGGTCATTCTCAATCTTCCTCAGGATGATAAATTCGTGAATGCGGTCCAATTTCTCTATTCTCTGGCAATCCTGCTGAGCACGCCCCTGCAACTCTTCCCAGCCATTCGAATCATGGAAAACGAACTTTTCACTCGCAGTGGCAAGTATAACCCCGGGATCAAGTGGAAGAAAAACTGCTTCCGCTTTTTTCTGGTCATGATTTGCGCGTTTGTTGCCTGGGGCGGAGCGGATGACCTTGACAAATTTGTCTCACTCGTCGGCAGCTTCGCCTGTGTTCCTTTGATTTACGTATACCCGGTACGTCTCCAGCAACTGGAACTTCTGAAGTTCTTCTAAAGTTACTGACACTTGCTCCAACAGCCACTCCTTCATCTCAAAGCGTGTGCGCAGTCCAGGCGCCAGCAGATTGCCGATATTGCTCTTTCCTGCTTTGGAGTCATTTCCTGCATATATACTACTTCATTGACACTCCACAACTGGGTGAACTCTGACAACACCAAGCCTCCAGGATACTGCGATTCATGATTCGCATATTGATACAGATTTCTATTACAACTGTCTTTTGGTAGACACGAGCTATTTAGATATGAGACGACGATCCAATGTTGTTTGGCACCGATTAGAGAGCAAGCGATTCATATCATTCTTCTGTCATTATACTCCTTGGTCATGTTCGAGCAAGCCTGCATATGCACTTCTGCCATGTGTGTCAATAGTTAGATCATTACGTCACTAGAGTCTAGCAGCATTGCGTATAGGTTGCTAGTAACAAGTGAGATATTAGACGAATTGATGTACTCAGACTCAGATTCAACGAGCACTGCTATATAAATCTCCCGGGATCAAGCTCTCAGAGTCACACTCCCGAGACTATCAAGAACAGCGAAGTAGTGGCAGTGCAAAGCATTCATTTCTGCAAGAAAGACTATGTACAGCCTCCAGGAGTACCTGGTCGTCTCATCCACGTAGCACAGTTGATCAGAGCCGAAAAAGCCATTCCCTGCTGGATAGAAGCCGTCGGGTAATCCTCGAACGAGTCGACACTCGAAATCCATTTTTGCATTCGTCTGGAGTAAATCTAAGTACTGCTGAGAAAGAGGGAGATTATATAGGGACGGCATCCACCCGGGAGCAACCAGAAACACGCGACTTAAAACGGGAGAATCACGTCGTCTATGCGCCGGCTTCGGTGGCTTCCTTGCCGTGCTTGGCGGCCTCTGCGAGCTTGGCTTCCCGGCCTCCCCAGCTACAGTTGAGAAGGGCTGTCAGTTACACTTTCGGTAATTGTGTGGAGAAAATATGAAGGCACTGGGGGGAGCAGGGTTGAGGAAGGCGGGTAGAGGACATACTTCCAGTAGTTCAGGTACCGGTATCCTTGAGTCATCTGAGCGGAGCAGTTGATGAAATGGCAGGCGAAGAGGAGATAGTTCTTGGGAGAGACAGCGAGGGCGTAACGCATGAAGGTTGCGGAGTAGACTGTGAGCGCAGCAGTCATCTGTCCGGAGATACTGTTCAAGTGTTAGTTGAGCGAGTCGACTCGTATTCGCGCAGGAGGTGCAAAGTTGATGGGACGTTCAGGGCGGCATAAGAGCCGTCCATTTCGAGATAGGGAAGTCGTTGAATCATATCGCGAAGCTCTGAACTGGGTGCGAATACGACGTACATTTCAGGGTCCTTTTGAGTGTCCATCACAGCTGCAATGGGGATACCAAAGTTCGAGGCAGGGCCCCAGAAGTCTGCATTGGCAAAACCTTGTCAGCGTTTCTCATGCACATTATCCGGTCCGAACAAACAGCATCCCGAGATCAGTTATGAAAAGCCATCAGAAACCTGATTGCGCTTTCATGAGTATCATCGCCGCCATCCAAGGCAGGCCGATCTCGGGCGAGAGCGACAAGGTGAGGAATTGTACGTACGTGTTGAGCAGACATAATCCAGAACCTTGTTGGAACGGATCTTAGCATTGATCGCCTTGATTGCAGCGGCCATGTTGAACAATTATTCGATGAAGCAAGGGTAAGGGTCCAAAGACAAGTATCCAGACTCAATAGCCAGGCACGTTTTGTTACTGTTCCCCGACCACGGAATCACAGCGCGGAGTTAACCGGGTATGTCACGTGAGTCCTTACTTGATATGACTACGAGCTTCAAGCGATATGAGGAGCTTTAAAACTTTCCAGAAGACATATTATGAATAGACTAGTGTATCGGTACTTTAGACATATTTAGCATTACTGCTTATCGATCCTAGACCAACTCCCTGGAGTTGATTCTCTTCGTCGGGACATTTCTAGCATCCGCACACGCCGCAACGCCGTTTGCCTGATAGAGATATGTGTGCTGTATCTATTTGTCAAATAGACTTGAAATTATGGCGAGTCCTTTTTCCTTTTCCTAGCCTCAAAATCTTGGGGTGCTCAATTGACCGCCGGGATATTGTATGCCATCGTGCCGTTCCGGAAATCAATTAATCATCTACCACCAAAGCCTGGAGGAGGGAAACCCCGGCCCTGACCAGGAGGTTGAAAGCCTGGTGGAGGCTGGAAGGCACCGGCTACATCAAACCCAGTTAGCAAAGAGTTAACCATATTCAGAACATTGGAAACTTACGAGGGCCACCTTGAGGAGCAAATCCAGGTGGGGGACCGAAGCCAGCTGGGCACAGATAATTAGTTTCGTACTTGGAGGGAAAGCTCTTTAAAAGGAAGGAACTTACGAGGTCCTCCAGGGGGTCCTCCACGGCCAGCAAATCCCGGAGGAGGTGCTCCAGGAAAACCACCCGGTGGGAAACCACCGAAGCCGCCAGGGGGCGGTGGTGGTCCTCCAACGCCAGCAACAGGGCCTCCAAGGCCGACAGGAAGACCTCGTCCAGCGGGCTTGCTTATTCCTGGGCCAGCAGCAAGAGTGGCAGCTGCAGCTGCAGCGCCGGGCGCACCAGTTCCAAGTCGCGCGGACGGTTCGGCGGGAGGTGGGCCATCAACGGAGCAGGAAACGACGTGAGTACCGCGCACGATTGTGAGACCGAGTGTCCGCTTCTCTTCCGCTTCGACCAGGGGAGCATTCGACGGTCCAGCAGCTGGCTTGGACTTCCGCTTGACGCGGCGGAATTCTTCTGTGTCTGCGAGTACGAGGTTCATGTGCTGTACGTCAAACAGAGTTTTCGTTAGCTACATGTATATGGGTCAAAAAAGCGCCTGGTAGATTTCACCTTATCGAATGCGAGCATTTGTCCCGTCATCTGTCGGCCGTCGGTCAGGGTAATCCTCATCCGATAGTTGATCTGCACGAATGTTAGACTTGGCGGGATGGCGAGCTCTAGAGTCATCGAATCAGAGACTTACGAGGTTTTGCTGCAAGCGAACGCAGTGTCAGCTATGAAAGACGGCAGAAACATCATCTTCGACAAGAGAAACGGCCAAGGGAACAGCATGACGAAAACTTACCATCTTGCCCTGCTTGTTGGCGGCCATGTTGGCTGGGCAATGCGCACGAATGCGACTTGGGAATAAAACCAAAGAATGTAGTGAGACAGTAGAAGACGGACTCTTCTACTTGATCATTCACTTTTTTGAGCTTATGCGCCCGTAGATAGATAGGTAATGGAGAATCCAGCTAAAGCAGGCTCACCAACGCTATCATTCCGCTGGCACGGGAGTCGGACTCGTGATCGAGACGCGGCTCTGCGCTTAGCGCCAAACGACCATGCCAAGGCGCTAAGGGCTCTCGCTTCCCACACCAACCCACACATACACTTTTGCACACTTTTCGAACCTTCGATTCTTCCACTCAACGAGTCGACCAATTTAACGCCAAAAGCAGTCGCCATGGTATGTTGCCAGTTTTCTCTGCAAAAGCCCACTACAGTCGAGGAAGAAGGACATATTTTTTTTTCTAACAATTTATCGCTATGCAGTCGGACGGAAAGGACAAGAGCGCAAACCCCATGCGCGAGCTGCGCATCCAGAAGCTCGTGCTCAACATCAGTGTCGGCGAGTCTGGTGACAGACTTACCCGTGCTGCTAAGGTGCTCGAGCAGCTGAGCGGTCAGACTCCTGTCTACAGTAAGGACGCCCGAATCCGATTTTGAATCCTTTTTTTTCTCGATGAGGTTGGGACGACGAAGCGGAGGAAGATGAAAGAGCAAGAAGAAAATCAAGCGTTACGGGAACAGTATGGCTGACGGGACAACTCTTCTTTTCCAAACTATAGGCAAGGCCCGCTACACTGTCCGTACCTTCGGTATCCGTCGTAACGAAAAGATTGCCGTCCACGTTACCGTCCGTGGCCCCAAGGCCGAGGAGATCCTCGAGCGTGGCCTCAAGGTCAAGGAATACGAGCTGAGAAAGAAGAACTTCTCCGAGACCGGCAACTTCGGCTTCGGTATCAGCGAGCACATCGATCTCGGTATCAAGTACGACCCTGGTATCGGTATCTACGGTATGGACTTCTACTGCTGCATGTGAGTGGCCCTCGGTTCTATTTTTGGCTTCCACTGGACTGCCAGTCAAGTCCATGGCTGACAATTGTGTCTTTTTTAGGACTCGCCCTGGTGAGCGTGTTGCCAAGCGCCGCCGCTGCAAGTCTCGCATCGGTACCAACCACAAGATCAACCAGACTGAGACCATCAAGTGGTTCAAGAACCGCTTCGACGGCATTGTCCGGTAAATATTCCGTCCAGGGGTCTGCGGAGGGGCCGCTTTGGGGTTGTGTTCTTTATGATGAATCGATAAAAAAGGCGGGCGTTTCTCTACATTGCCGCTCTGCTCTGAAATGCTTCTTTCTACCACGGCATATGGATAGGCGTGCTAGGAATATCAATCCACAATTCAAAAACGCATCCACTTTTCACAATGAAGGCTTCACAAAGGGTGATGATTTCCGCATAACCATTGTTGAAAAGTTTTGCATGATGCTCCCATGAGTCCATGGGCTGCTCGTGGGATGTTCCTGGCCGTGGGGTCGATGGCTTTCATCCGAGTGCTTTCCGTCAAGAAACACTTTCGGTTGTGTCATTATGTGGGCAGTCCAGGGTTGAAGTCGTAGGACTTGGGTCACCCAACCCTTTTCTGATGCCGGTCTGGTATCAGAACGGACACCCTTCTAGCACTGACGTAGGCTGTCCATCGTAGCGTGTTCTTGCACTGTGTAGACTCTCGTACGGGCCGTAGTATTTCGCGCCAACTCATCAACGTCACCTCACTGTACGCCAAATCTATGTTGGCTGGGTATAGAAACAACATCCTCATCACACACAGCGGTTACCTGGCGCAGGCTTAATTAGGGTATAGGCTATGGTATAGGACATACGGCAATAGGCACAGCTATTCAGGAACCTACGATATTGACTCGTCCTTTCCTCAGAATCAACAGCGCAATGATGCTGTAGGAAAAGTATCATGAACACTGAATATTCATTCTGATGGTGATATTGACACGGCTCATGCATTGCATTGACATGTACAAGACAATTCAATTTCCCTTCCTTCACAACCATATCAGCTCAATCAGCGGCCCTTGGTGTATGTATTCCAGAGCTTCGAGAGGAAGCCACCCTGCTCAGACTGCTCCAACCAACTCTGCCGACGAGCAGCCACGCTAGGATCGGTGGCATTCCGCTTCGTGCTATTCAAGCTTTCAAAGAGACCTGCGCTTGACCGTCTCCGCTCCCCGCTCCCAGAGCGTGGAGGACTTGCTCCATGGGCAGAAGTGTTGGATGAGTCGGATGACGTTGAGCCCTATTTCAATGGTTAGCACCGAAAGACACAAAGCAAGTTGATGACGAGAGGAATTCTTTGAACGGTAGTTTCTAAAAAACTTATCAGACGTACATGTCTGTCGTCCATGTCGGTAGAGGGTCTTCTGTCAGGGGTTTGGATAGCGCCGCCTATAACCCAGACATTGGGCTGTTCGTAGCGGTCACCTACAGTTCCATGCCAGTGCCGTTTTGGGGGTTCGGGCCTGTCGCTCATTTTGGATGAATTGACTGAGAGTTGCGAGAGGTTGTAGACAAGATAGTGGTTCCTAGTGAGTGTGATAAATTAGGCAACGCTCCAGTATCAATCGAATCAGAGTTATTCTTGGATGACGTTCAGAGCGAGGTGATCAAAGAAATAGTAGTTAATAGACGCTTCAGGATGTCGAATGTAAACCCAATGAATAATCAAGAGGTCTCACAACCTTCCGGCGATTACAAGGATGACAAATGGAGATGCTAGATGAATATCACTGACTTACCAACTGTTATGAAAGTTTGGCTGCTCATCTTGTGAAATTCCATGACTGATTGGTGTATATATACCTGACTCTTCCTACCCAGCCAAGGGAGGCGTCTCCAGACGAGAGGGGTAAGTTACCTATCCCAGCTGCCGTAAAGCAGTGAGACAAACTCCGATGGGATGATGTATCGTGATTGTCAACCTTTCCTGGAGCTTAATTGGGGCCAATAAGAAAACGGACTGATCCAATGGTTGCTCGCAGCTGGTCATCCTTCCGGCAATTGGTATCAACCAAAATTGGTACGATGATTCATCGTCTTCGCAGACGCGTCCAGGTCTGCTGATGGCAGCACTGATGGACATGCCCTAGGCGAATCACCGCTGACGGATGATCATCCATGCCCAATCAGACTCCGGGATGTTCAGTTCAACAAAGTGAGTCTCGATGAAAGAAAACAGCAGAATATCTGCGGTTTTCGAGGTGATCTCGTGATGGCTGACGTCAAGATTCTCTTGATGCGGGGGAATCTCGATCGATGCATCCATGGAATCATATTGCAGAGAACAGACTTAACTGCGGATGGAATAGACGTCCATCAGATGAAGTTTCCATCGTGTTCCCATGCCAACAGACCTCGATTGATACAGTTGATAGTTGATACTGTTTCTGATCGCGATAAGCATTCGTCGAAGTCTTTATCTCCGATTGGATCAGGAGCATACCCATTTTTGATGCCTCAGGCTGCAATCGGCCCCTAGTTCTGGCGCCGACGCGGAATGTTATTTACTTTCCCTGCAAAGACCAGTCAAGCTGTCGGCTGCGTAGAGAGTCTAGTTGGCTCTCCCGTCGCTTCTGCCGACGAACGCGCATCGATATCGACTTATATCGCTTCGAGATTCGTTTGCTAGGATGTATCTTTCGCCTAGCTCAGCTGCTTGGCTATCAGATGGCTTATCATCGCCAGGCTGGGGAAATCCCCCGCTCATAGGCCTCGCTATATATGATGGTAGCCCAATATTCTATCATTTATGATCCATTGAGACCGGAAAAATGTACCCAGAGCGTAACGGAAACCGGATTGAGAATCATAGGTCGACATGGAAACCATTCGATATCCGTATGTGAAGTCTCTCGCCCGCCGAGGCTATGTCCAAGGCGTCACCATTACATCGAAAGCTACGAACACTCCCCTTTGTCGCTTCTTTGGTGGCATTCGCTATGGCTTAGCTCCCTCTCAGCGATGGCGTAGAGCCCAGAGACTACCATCTGATTACGCCTATGGCTCCCGGGATCAGCCCGGTCAGTGTGTCAGGCTTTCAGGCGTCTGTCCGCAACCTTCGTTCATGAACCTTTCTTTCGAAGATGACTGGACCGAGGATTGCTTCCAGTGTAATGTGTGGGTTCCTGTAGCAGAACCTCCCACGGAAGGTCTGTCAGCTAAGACCCCTGTACCTTCTTTAACACCGTCCTGACTGGTTGGCTAACAGTGGACAGGATGGCCGGTTTTTTTCTTTATTCGTAAGCCTTCTACGCTGTCACAAGAGACAGATCATACCCTTGATGGATATTGTATAACCCTTGCTGCGTTTTAGACGGCGGCTTTCTCCAGTTTGGTACTCCAAACACCTTCTCGGCAGCAGCTTTTCTGGGTGAGACGGACTTCAATGCCATCATAGTCATGCCCGCATATCGTCTTGGAGTCCTTGGTTTCCTTTCCTCTTCCGAGATTGAACAAGACGCTGCCTCTGCAGGAGAGTCTGTGGGAAATCATGGCTTCTGGGATCAGCGTCTAGCGTTAGAGTGGACTAGAGACAACATCGCTCTCTTTGGGGGAAACCTCTTGCAGGTCACCATATCTGGTTATTCGGCCGGTGAGTCTCGGCCCAATCTTTTCGAGTATCTACCCTCATTTCCCGTGCACCAGGAGCCTACTCGGTATTCTATCAGCTGGCCTACGACCTACAACTCCCTCCAGAACAATCTTGTGTAAAACAAGCTTGCATCTGGTCCAACTCGCCCGCCGTCCAGCCCAAAAACGGAGCAGCAGCGCAGCTCCAATTCAACCAGCTCCTCTCCGCCCTCAAGATCCCCACGTCCCTGTCCTGGAAAGAAAAACTGTCCCGTCTCCGCTCTATCCCAGCCAAGACCCTGCTCGATGCAGCAACCAGCATCGAGCTGCACCAGTTCCGCCCAACAAGCGACGGCACCTTCATAGACCCAGCTCTCTTCAAGTCCTTGGACAACGGCACCTTCGCCCGCAAGCTAGCAGCCCGAAGCATCCGAATCATGCTCGGCGAATGCCGCGACGAACGATCCCTCTACGCAACCTGGCACCCTCCACAAAGCAACACCCTGCAATCCTTGCACCGCCGTCTCCTGGCCGACTACCCCCGTCACATCGCCGACGCCGTAATCAAAATCTACTGTCCACACGGCCAACTTCCCCCCGGCTGCGAAAACTGGCACACCGACGCCTTCGGCCTGATCTACGCCGACATGCAGGTCCACAAGACACAGCGCGGGCTCGTCCACGCCCTCGCCGCCGGCAACGCGGGCCATCTACTCTACCGCTACCGCATCGAGAAGCGTCTGAAGTGCGCGGACCGGACGATCCCGCCTTCGTGGGGCGTCACGCACGCCACAGACCAATACCTCTGGTTCTGGGGCAACGGGGAGGCGCTGCAAGCGGGGGAGAAGCCCATGGTGCGGGAGGCGTTCATCGACCCGCTCACCAGGTTTGTCCGGGGCGACGCGGATGCGGATATCGGCTGGGGAACGGGGGATTACCGGCAGGTGAGGACTCTCAGGCCCGATGGGTCGGTCCAGATCTGCAAGGACGGCCTGTGGGACGAGGCCATGCGGGTCTGGAGGGCATTACGAGAGGTGGGGGAGCCCGGCGAGGGCTCTACTTCTGCGAAACTGTGACGAGACGACGACAAGGATCGTTGGATGATAATCCATGTGCTGTATACTGTTCTATCTGTGACTTGACTTTGTCTGGAATTGAACCACCCAGGCCTGCCAAACTATTAGTATGGCACAGCTTCATATTCCGATTCACTTCGAGTAGATGCGTTCCAGATGGCAATGCATATGTGACGAGTGTGTAGAATTTGAAATAGCACGTTCATTGTGCTCAGAAGTAGATTTGTTTGACAGATAAATAGAAACAACCGACAATAAACCCCAACCCAGATACTATAAACGCTCTAAGCAGACATCAAAAGCCATTCCCATTTTCATATCTCCATATAAATAAGCCGTGTGCGCGGCCTGTATACAAGACAATATATCCTCATTCATTCGTAATTTCGACTTTGGGCCTTTTTCGAGCTCTACGCCTTGGCGATCTTACAGATGAGGTCCTGGCCGTCGACGGAATCACCTTCCTTGACGAGCAGGCCGGAGACCTTTCCGCTGTGAGGAGCAGAGATGACCATTTCCTATAGTTCCATTAGCTTGTTTGACATGGTAGCATTTGCGCAAGAGATGCGGACTCACCATCTTCATGGCGCTCAGAACGGCAACGGGGTCACCCTTCTTGACCTCCGAACCCTCGTGGACACGGATTTCCACGACGACACCACTCATGGGAGCACCGATTTGGCTGCTGTCGCCAATGTCGGCCTTGGGGCGGGCGGTGTTGTCTACAGAGGCCTTGTTGTCGTCCACGGTGACCTGACGGACCTCACCATTGACCTCGTAGAAGACTTCACGCTGACCGGTCTGCTCGGACAGGGGGCCGATGGCCAGCATCTTGAGAATCAGGACCTTACCCTGCTCCAGCTCGACGTGGAATTCCTCGCCGATCTCGGGCTTGGCCAAGAAGTAGCGGGTAGGCAGGATGGACAAATCACCATACTTCTGCACGAACTTCTTGTAGTCCTCAAACACCTTGGGGTACATGGCGTAACTGGCCACGTCGTACTCGGTGGCTGAGCCATACTTCTCCCGAATCTGGTTCTTGATCTTGGCCAGGTCCAGAGGCTCCAGGTAGAGACCGGGGCGCTTTTCGAGCTTGCGGCGGTCACGCAGAGCCTTGGATCGCAGAGGCTCAGGGAAGCCGCCGAAGGGCTGGCCCATAAGACCCTCGAGGAATTCAAGGACAGAGCCGGGGAAGTCCAGCTCGCCAGCACGGGCGATAACGTCCTCGGGAGTCAGCTTGTTAGAGACCATGAACTGAGCCAGGTCACCGACAACCTTGGAGGTGGGAGTGACCTTGACAATGTCGCCCAGCAGGTCGTTGGCCGCCTCATAGGCCTTCTTGGTCTCGGCCCACTGCTGACCCAGACCGAGCTGACTGGCCTGGAAGAGGAGGTTGGTCAGCTGGCCACCGGGAATTTCGTGCTCGTAGACCTCAGGGTCGGGGCCGGTCAGACCAGCCTCGAACGGCGAGTACAACAAGCGCAGCTGTTGCCAGTAGGAGTCGATGGCACGAACGTGAGCCCGATTGAGCTTGGGGTCGTGCTCGGTGCCCTCGAGAGACGCAAGGATAGCACCAACGCTGGGCTGAGATGTCATACCGGACATGCTATCGGTGGCGGCGTCGACGGCGTCAGCACCGGCCTGAGCACAGGCAACCATGGAGGCCACACCGGTACCGGCGGAGTCGTGGGTGTGGACGTGGATGGGGAGGTCGGGGTAGCGCTCACGGATGGAGCCAATCAGCAGGCGCGCGGCCTGGGGCTTCAGCACACCAGCCATATCCTTGATACCAAGGATGTGGGGGTTGAACGAGACAATCTTGTCCACC